TTGGGTATCAAAGAATCCATCCGGGTAACCAATCTAACTTCGATATTAAAATTTTACTTTCATTCATTTAAAACTAATTTCAATTATCTTATGCAGAACGTATTTCGACGATGAAACTGGCAATCTCCATAGCAGGGATGTTTTGAAAAGTATAATGGATATAAGACAAGATATCAATACTAAAGTTACTAAAATTAATTCATCGTTGATTATACTTATTATATTTTATTTATAGTTATTTATTCCATTACTTAATATATTTCATTCACCCTTATTTAACCTATTAGAATTTTCACATGGAATTACATTTGTTGAGGCGACTTATCAAAGAAGGTTGCACTCGTCTTTCAAAAGAATATGCAATTCTTGATTTTGGATTTGAAGATGAATGTGCTACCCAGTTGATGTTACATAGAAATAGAAACGAAGGAGTTGCAGCTAAAAAACAATCATTTACCTATTAGAATTTTCACATGGAATTACATTTCTTGAGGCTACTTATCAAAGAAGGTTGCACCCGTCTTTCAAAGGAATATGCAATTCTCGATTTTGGATTTGAAGCTGAATGTACTCATGAGTTAATGTGCGGACAAGCAGAAGTGCAAGTAAAAACAATCACTGAATCTTGCTCGTCTAGAACAATACGTGAATGACATTTTACTATCAAGTGGTCACCCATGTTAGCATGTAATTATTTATTAAATCCATGCTGGTATTAAGGCAACAATTGATATCTTTTCCGTGTGAGTTTTCGAGAATGAAAATTTCAGATATATGATTGTAGTCATAGTGTTCATACCACACAAGAGGTCATGGATCATGTAAACGCAACATTAAATGTGGTTCAATTATTATTATTGTCAGAGGTTTCCATCAATCCAGTTATAAAGAAAAATCGAAACAAACAGATGGAAGTGGAGATTATACCCTACTTGCCTTGTACAAATAATGGGTAAATATTATTTACTTCTTTTTCATCTCACTTTATTTTCATATTTATCTCTATAGCTAATTTATTCTAACGAAAAAATTTCTCTTCCACAGGCCAAACTGTAGAGTTTTTTTTTTTTGCTGAAATATATAGAATGCTTCATTTTCGGATATCCTAGTGAATCAATTTCTCCAGACAAAATGAATATATACAGATGAATGATGGTAGTAGACATTTACACCAATCAATACTTCCTACGTCCTCTTTCATCCTGACATGAATATTCAAACTTAGATTCAACAGAAAGAACTCCCAGATTTACAATGTAGATTTTCAACAATGCTTCTTCTACTGCCTGTTCCATCAATTGCTAGTATGAGGTAAGGTTGTGTTTTTTTCCAGTCAATTTATGGAAATTTTGGTTTTTTTGACTGTAGTCAATTTCTATATTAATTGTTGCTTCTTCATGTTATTGGATTGACCTTACTTCACATGGTCTATAATATTTTATGCTTCCAAAACTTCTCAAGGTAATTCTAACAACATGATGGTAACCTTATCTTTTGGATATTGTTATTCATGGATATTACATCTGGCTAAAATTTTTGTTATGTTTTCTTTGCCGATTATGAAAGTTGGAGAAATGATGACTTTGCAAATATGACCTACTATTTTGTCTAATATTCGAAGTTGCATAGATGTTACAAACATCATAAAAATTTATTGCTTAATTTTAGAACAAAAGGCAAAGGAAGCAGAAGAGGACTATACTGGTCAATTTGAAGCATTTCTTGTGAAGATTAATATGTTAGACAAAAAATTGACAGGTTTTGAAACATATGCTAAAGTGCTTATCGATTGTACAAGAAAAGGGAAAATTCTGAAAACTGAAGAAAAAGTCTCTGAAGTTTTTTGAGTTTAGTTGGAGAGTTTGATTGCAAATTGTTGATACAAAAGTGTGAACTTCGTCGGCCTTCTCAGTGAGGCTGTAGGTTAATGGGGAATTTGCTGCTATGGAAGATTAATGTCCACTTTAGATTGTGTTATGAGAACAGTGACGAACAATGATGTATTGATCGTGTGTATGTCCAAAATTCATGTCTCAAAATTGTACCCATTAGGTATTTTCTTAGTTTTTGATTGGCTTTGCACGTGCCTTTTGTGCTGTTACATTCCCTAGGGTGGGTGTAATTCCTATTGCACTTGCTTGTGTGTTTGACACATTTGTCATGAGTGTCATGAGCTTAACCTCCTAAACTCGATATATCATGGAGTGATCTCATCAAGACATGGGGTTGACCCTTGCTTTTGGAATAAGCTAGGCAATGTCATGGGTTGGTTCACTTGTCAAATTTAGCTTATATAGCCGCGAGCTCAGCTAAGTCCCAAAATGCCAGGTCATATAATACTTTTTGTCCTCACAATTTTAATTTACATGTGGGTTCAGTAAGGAGGAGTCTCCTGCAATTGAAAATGTTGATCAAGGGGATTGGTTTATCTCTATATAAGTTAAGACT